AACTCGGCAAACGGGAGTGCTCGTAACTCGTGCAGTGGCAGGAGCACGGGAGACTCTGGCATGGCAGCCACAGCCAGCAGGAGGACAGTTCCGGTATCATACCATATTGTACGAGTGGGAAGGAGTGAGTATGATGGCAGCAGTAGCAGGGCAGCAGTAGCAGTAGTGCTCTAACTTGGCGGCATTGAGGAACAGAGAGGCGGGCGGAGAGCAACGAAGCAACGAGCAGCGACGAGCACCCCAGGAAGAGGACGATCTGGACGAACGAGGGTTTACTCGAGCAGTGTGGAACAAGGGTGTGGCCGAAAAGTGTGGAGGCAGTCGGGGGGAGTTGATTATTGTGATGGACGCACTCCCCACTCTATTTCTGGTGAGCAGCATACAGGAAGCATGCGGTAGGTACCCTGGGCTCTGCTGTGGGTTACAGTGGGTTGGCCTCTTCTCCACCACTTTGTCCCCATTCCTTCCATGACCCGGGGATTCGGCGATTCGGCGAGGGCATGGTGAAGCTCTTCCCTTCAACCGCTCGCACTCAATTTCTCACAAAAAGTATGATATTATGATCCTACTATGTCTGTCAATCATACAAAATGGCGCCCTAAGATCTGCTGCGCTGTGCCAAAGCAGTCTGCTCCGCCAGCGTTACCCTGCTAGAACTACCATACCGGTATCACCCCACAGTGCATCCTGTGGCACCAACCAGCAGCCAGCCAGCCAGCCAACCAGCCAACAAGAAACAAGGGCACCAAAATACGGAATTGTAGACCGGTATGCCGGTATCGACACAGTTACCGGTGCGTGTCTCGTCCTTATTCTTACCGTCTTCCCATAAATACAAGTATCATTTTCCTTCGCCTTCCACTGCAACTTCCCACCTCCTCACTCACCCAATCGCTCGCCGATACCCACTGCAGCTTCCGCGCAGACCAAAGTATGATAGCTGCCTGCTTGCCTATCGCTATGTATGGTATTGCTCAAGTATGTGTGAAGTATATGTAAGGAACTTCACTCACAGGCCTTCCTCAATTGTCTAAAACCATAGCTAGCTCTCTTCCCGACACAGCCATAACGGTCAACCAATGCTTGTCATAGTTTCGCCCACTCATCACCCCCCCCCTCCCCCTCACTCTTCACTACCTCCCTTCCATTCCCTTCCCTTTCTCTCTTCGAAGCTTCCGGCATCTCCAGAAATGCGTGCATTCGGCACGGCATTACTACCAAATATACTTGTACAGTACATACATATCTAGTCACAATTCTCCGGCCAGCGGGCGAGGATACCAAAAGAGACATAACCTTCACTCCCGCAGGCTAGGAAGGAGGGTCCATTTCAGCGATGTTCAAAATTTGAGTGAACTTAATAGACTGTCACTAGCTCAATGCAATTCTCATCAAAAGCCTCCGCCACCCGCTGCACTCAGAAACCCCCAATTGCTGCACAATGCTGCATATGGAAAAGGGGCACAGTTAGATACCGTTTGGCAAAACCCACTCCCCTTTCATGCATTTTTATTTTATTTAAATTTCACCAAATTTTCTCCTCTTCAACCACCAATCCCTTCCCCCCTTTTCCCTCAAGTCCGGATAGCAATTCTGCAAAGTGCGTGTGCCAAAAGGTACCGCGGCACCTCGTTCATCTAGCTTCATCCTCCTTCCCTCCCTTCCTTCCTCCCCTCTCGCTCGTCCCAAGAATCCCTACCGTGCATACTGGTGTTTGGGAAAATTTTTGGGTTGGATTTTTTTTTTTTTTTTTGACTTACCATATTGGTCCCCACCCTTCCTTCTCGTGAACGCCTCAAAATTCCCAAGCGAAGGGAACCCTATCTGGGGAAGAAGCGGAAGGGCCAAGGAGAAAAGGTGGAGGAGGGGGGTAGCCATTCGCTTGCCCGTCAGTCAACAAATGAAGAGGTCTCTCTCGCTTTTGGAGATGGGTGGTGGTAGCGGTGGTGGTATGATAGAGAGTACTGATGAGGGGGGGGCTAGAACATTTTCGCCTGTTTTCCAACCAGTGACAGCTTTGCTTGCGCGCCCGCCGTTCGACCAGGTCCCCCATCAATCTAATCGCTTCCTTTCCCTTCCAAGGATACTGTTCGGGGTGGGTCAGGTGGCCTCTTTGGTTGAACCCCCCCCTACCAGCACAGTTCTCTGAGGAGTGCTGCCTTACTTACCCCAGGCGAACCACAAACCCCACAAAAACTCGCAAGAGTAAGCCGATTGATTGATTGATTGATCTGTCCGGAAAAAAGCAAATAGGGGGGGGGGGGTCTTGCCTCCGTAAGGGAAAAAAGGGTTCTCCTCCCTTCTGCTTGCGATTTTGTTTTCAACATTCCGTCCCTGTTCCCCTTTTTGGCCTGAACAAGCCCAACCAACCAATCAGAAACAGGCAAGCAAGTAAAGTCTTGGCACGATCCACCGATCCCCCTCTCATCCTCCCCAGGCCCCGTCTGTCTAGAAGGATATCGTCATACCGTAACTCTGACCGCATCGGCCGATTGAGCTACTTTTTTTCCCTCGTCCGCTCGCCTCTCTCCCCGTCAGAGCGGAAGGGGAAAAAAGAATAAAAAGAAAAGAAAAAAACAGAAAGGGTTACCGGTAGCACAGCCCAGAGCGGACCACTCGAATACGGTAATAAACTGTCCGAAAAGTCTTAGGAGTCTGGCGCCACTAATAATCTGACTTGAGGGTTTACTCGAGCACTACAGTATGTACGAGTACTGTGGTAGCGCAGCACCGGTATCAATTGAGCTCACTGCCGTGCTTGGGGGCGCCCGCACAGCAGAGAGATCATCACCGGCGAGTGCGGGATTGTTCTCGAGTAGACTATGGTTTCCATCATTAACACAGCGCAGTGCGTGCGTGACAGGACAGTGTCCCCGACAGGACAAGTGTCGCAGCTGCTTCCGGCAGTCAAACTAAATTTGAATTTATTACTTACTAAGTAAACGAGGCCTGCTCTTACTCGTAATAGCCGCTACCAGATTTGCCACGTGCGGCATTGTCCTGTCTGCGACATTCTCCGAAATCAAAGAACATAGTACTCTGTGAGTTATGGTCCAAGGGTTGGGACCCGTTAACCGGAACGGACAGGGATCTGTTTCGCTGGCTAACACTTGAATAACTGTTTCATAACTTTTTGCCTGATCTTGGCACAGCGCGGTATGGATACGGTACTCTACGGTATCTATCTACGAGTACCAGCCCATATGTACTAGTACTAGTACATAAATTCACAACACCGGCAGCCAAAAGCGACAAAGCAATGGCCCAGGAATATCGAGAGTTCCAGCATCGTGAAAACCTCCAACCCCCTTCCCCTACCGTATCCCTACAAGTAAATTAATTAATTGTGATAAACCCACCCCAACCTGCCGAAAATGCGGGGTTGGAGTACTTGTGCTCGAGTGCTCGAGTACGAGTACTGTACTTTTACAGTCACTCGAGTAGCTACCATACCACATGCACTCCGCGCACGCACGCAAGCGGCTGTTTCCGATGGATAGAACTGGGTGATGCGCCAGGCTAGATCATGGTACGAGTACTGTACGAGTACTCGAGCACGGTAGAGAAGAGAGTTCAAGTTGGTTCTGTAGTCTAGCAACCCTGACAAAATAAAAAAAAAAGGACAGTTTTTCCTTTTTCAAAATGATGGGCGTTGGAGGGGTATAATAGGTTGGGTTGGCGGGTGATGTAAGTCATTTATCACGAATGCGATCGCTGCCGTGTTCTGTGGGGTCGGTTTTTATCCTTTTATTTTTGGTGAGTAAGATACCGGTATTGTGTTTTTTTTCTTTTAGTCTTGTGTTGGAAGTGGGGAGAAGTAAGTTAGCTCTAGACTATCACGAACTGCGATGCTTGATCTACTCGTATGAATCGATGAATGGCGCGGGGGGGGGGCTTTCGGAGGCAATTCTAGCTACTCTACCGCCAACTCGCTGCCGGGGGCGTAGCGGTAGTATCATAACTCGGATAGTACGATAGAGCACTCATAGTACTCGTACTTCTTGGTGGTGGTTGTTTTTCACTACCGGTATTGGTATGATACTGTATTGTACCTGCACGATATGATGCATCGCTACCCTTCTTCTTCAACATATCGGGAATTTGTGGACCAGCTCAAACCTAGGCATGATGTATCATACCGTGCCCGCTGGCACTCGAGCACTGATTTACGAGTAAGAGTGGTACAAGTTACAGTACAATTACCAGTATCTCGAAACTATGTAGCTCGAAACTATGATAATATTATAACAGTCGAAATAGCCTTTCTTTCTTTCCTCATTCATTCATTCTTCCCCCCCATCCATCCATCCATCCATTCTTTCTTTCTTTCTCCCCTTTCTCCCCTTTCATTTCTTTCGCGAGTAGACAATATTTTACTAGTCCAGTAGCGCAGCCTACTCGGAACGAAACCATCGACACGAGATGGGATGGGATGAACCCGCGCAGTCGGTTCCTTAATTTACCCACGAGCCAACCAGTCAGCCAGCTAGCCAATTGGTAAACCAAGAAACCCCAATCATCCATCACCATTCATACCGGTGATCCATTGGTTTGAGACGTACTCGCGCCGTGGAAAGGAAAAGGAAAAGGAAAAGGAAAAAAAAAAAAACGTCACGAATCAACAAAGTCTTACCTTTACCAGGTCCAACGCACGCAACGCCAATCTGGGGTAAATTCAGAGCGTCATAAATGGGTTAACACACGGTAACGGTAAATCACATATAAGTTTCATCCCGGCTGAAATGAACGGTAATACCGTATCGTGGATGCTGCATCTATTTTTTATTTTTTTTTTCCCCACACGGAGAGTGGAGTGGTGGTGGTGCAGATAGAGTACGGTGTTGCTTGACGGTTATTGAATTACGGGCTCGTAAATGGGTCTGTTCTCGAGGTTGTGGGTATTGAGAGGGGGAGGGGAGTGCAGATGTTTATGAAGGAATCGGGTGCTCGGGGGTGTATTCCTGCTCGCGGCCGTTGGAGGGGAGGGGGTTGCGGGGTGATATATCTGTCTGGATATCGTGTAGCTAACTAAATTTATCCATCTATGATACCACCCATGCTCTGCGGATAGTGGATTAGCAAAGCGCATTAAATCAAGGTATGCACCAAACGATATGGGAACATCTCCATCTCCCCATAAAATATCGTACAAAGTCAATGTCGGCATCAGGAGAATTCGCCAACCTTGAACATAATAATATTATTACCCGGCCACCACCGCTCCCATCATGCAACCATCCACCACCAGATGACACCCCCCTCCCTTTTCCACTCCGAGCACGGTAACCAAATTATCACCCGCCAAGTTTTTTCCCTTGCTCCTGTTAACCTTATTCCCCACCCTCCTCCCACAAAAAAATGGGAGCAAGGCCGAAGGAAAATCCCCCGGAGAGCACGTCGTCGCAAGAAAGATTTGCGAATGGAGCTTGAGGACCGTGCGTCCTTGAAAAATCGCTTTTTGACCCCCCTTCACCCTTTGCCCTTCAACCGGAGTGGGCTGGACTCCACTCCACTCTACTCGAAACCATTCACCTGCCATAAGTTGCCACGGGTTCGGGTTGATCTGCATCATTGTTATCATCATCATGTCGTACAATTACTCGTACGTGCTCGTGCTCCACTGCGATGCATTGTGCTTCGCCATCACTAGTCCACATGCGCACCCTGCGAGTCTGCGAGCTGTGGTGGCGGCGATGGTTGCGGTGGTGAGATAATCGGTGCTGTATTCTGCTTTGCCATGTCGAGTCTTGAGTTGCTATATCGAGCATAAGCGATCACTCGCTCGCTTGCTGTCCGCCGCCCTGTTTGTTTGTTTGGGGCTTTATGTGACCTTGTGCCTTGTAATGTATCACTCGGTTTTTCTCGAGGCATGCCAAACCTCAGCTAGCTGGCTCAGACTTGCGGAAGTATCCCCTGTTTGAAAGTCTTGCTGACCATAGTTACACCCCTCTATCCCGCACCTCGATAATCCGGATACCTCGCTTCCCTGACCGAACCTCTCTGTGTTTTAAGTTTCTTTTGTACCGAGACCTGACCCTTGTCCGAGATCACCCGCTGTACTGGACAGATTCCTTGGGTTTTGGCTGTCCGGGATAGCGGGGCGCGACTGTACTAGTCCACATAGGTACAGTCACTAGACAAAAGGCTTGGTGAGCTAGTGTTTCTCCTTGTATCTTGGACACGCCCCCTCCCTACACAGACCACCAATTGCACGGTCCCCGGCAAAGGGAGGTCTCGTCTCACCAAGACTTTTGTCCAATGACTGTAGCTGTGGCTGCCCTAGGATGTTGGTGTGAGCTAGAGAGCAGCCACGGTTACCAGCGGGCTTGTCTGGTTATTGGGAATTTCCAAACGGGAGTGCACATGTATAAATTTCCAGATACAAGGTTGGGGGGGATCTGGAAGGGGTTTCAATTGGAGTTGGCGCCGGAGGCAATTTATCTTGTTTTCTGTCAGTTTGTGCCGGTCTGGTACAGTAGCGACGGCGGATAGGTTGGGTCGGGTCATTCGGCTCGGTGTGGTGTGCGGCTTGACGGGTGTTTCTGGGCACGCTAGCTCGAGGAAGTGAGTGGCGAATTGGTTATGTTGGATTTTTCGCTCCTACCGGGCGCCGTACTTGCAATTGGGTTGCTTTTTCGCGATTTGATGGGGGGGCTTGATGGAGACGCTGACGACTCGAAGACCAATGAACTCCTAGATTATTTGCTTTGTGAATAAAGGGCCTAAGGGGAGGTAAGTTGTCTTAGGGGAGACGCCAATACAAAGCCGAGTGACATCATATGGATGACCCGATAGAGAACAGATGCCCCTCGGTCTACTCGAGTAGAGCTACAATAGCACATTAGCGAATAGTTTGGTCTACAGTCCTAGGGGCCAGAGCACCGATTTTCCAGGCCCTAGGACCCCACTCCCTGTAGAGAGTTATGCAGGGACAAGGTTGCTTCGCTCCAGCTGGTGTCAAGTTTAGCTTCCAAATTTTGCTGAAAAAGTGAGCTAAAGTAAAATCGAAACCTGGAATTGGGCCGTTAGGAGAAAGGGCTAGGAGTTTTGATT